AAAAAAAAAAAAAAGAGATCCTCTGGCCTCAGTCTCCCAAGTCGCTGGGACTATAGATACCTGCCATAATGCCTGGCTATTTTTAGAGATGGGGTGTTACTCTTGCTCAGGCTGGTCTTGGAACTCCTAAGCTCAGGCAATTCACCCATCTTGGCCTCCCAGAGTGCTGGGTTTACAGGTGTGAGCTACCACACTTGGCCTTCTCACCTTGATCTAAAAAGAAAGTCTTACCCTTTGATTCTTTTAGAGAAATGAACCAGTAGTTAAAGGTAGTTCTAAGACCTAGAAGAAAATGTAATAACCATTCTTGCTCTTTTTTCCTTCTCTGCTACTCTGGGGTATTAATATTCTGGCATCTAGCTGGTCTCCAAATGCTTGGTACCACTTTTATTATTACCCCATAGAAGCAGTTTTCTGGAGAGCTTGACTGCTTGCTGAAACTAGGCTGACCTAATATTCTAACTCTCCAGATGAGCCAGGCCTGGCCCTTAGTTTCCTGTGCCTCCTTCATTTGCTCAGCTGTGACACACAAATGAATGGCCTCAGAACTTTCGGGCTCACCCCTTAGGTAAGAACCTCCTTCCCTAGGCAACCTTGTTAAAATCACCAGTCCACGCTAGAACTATAGTTTAAGGATGTCACTGCTACAGCATTTAAACCTTGTGAATTATACATGACAGAATTAAAGGATTATACTCTTATTTCCAAGTAAGAGTTGGAAACTTGCTAGAACTCAAGTGTTCTTGACAAGTTCATGATTCTTCCCCCAAACTAAGTGTCCTTTCTCAAATGCCTGTTAAACCAAGATGCTATAAAATTCTCTATGGCAAGATGAAAAAATTTAGGCAACAGAGAGAAATGCCTAACAGCTAGAGCAGGTTTCCTGAGCTCTAGTCAGCTACACTAATTATTATTCTTCACTTTGTCTTTTGCCAAAAGAAAGTACTAAAAAAGTATGTCATTGATGAAAGACAGAAGATACATATCTCCGCGGTGCTCATAGCTCAGTGGTTATGGCGCCAGCCACATACACGCAGCCTGGTGGATTGGATCCTGGCTGGGCTAGCTAAACAGCAATGACAACTGCAAGAAAAAAATAGGGGGCGTTGTGGCGGGCACCTATAGTCCCAGCTACTTGGGAGGCCAAGGCAAGAGAATCACTTAAGCCCAAGACTTTGAGGTTGCTGTGAGCTGTGATGTCACAGCACTCTACCAAGGGTGACATAGTGACACTGTCTCAAAAAAAAAAAAAAAAAAGACATATCTC